GCCCGCTGATAAACAAAGCAGTTAGAATAAGGGGGATACCGTCGAAAGGTATCCCAGGCCCGTTTTTGAGCCTTCCATGCCTCCTGGCAGGCAGGACTCCACCATGGACGAGAATACCGTGGAAAACGTGTCGAGGTCTTAGGAATAGAATAAACAGCCGCCTGGACAATACAGTCAGTCACTGCCACCACACACTCGTCTATTGATGGTAGACAGACGAAGGCAGGATCAAGTTCAGAGAAAGAAGAGAAAGATGGCAAGTCAGCCTGGTCCAGCTTCCACCGTGGCACTCGAGTCGGGTGGCATCGACCATGGCCAACCTCTATCAGTATGATGGGAAAATGATCACTGCCCCAAGGATCACTGTCGACCATCCAAGAAAAACGAGTGAAAAGTGCAGGGGAGCAAATTGAGGGATCAATGGCAGAAAAAGACTGACTAGGTGCATGAAAGTAAGTGTATGTTCCAGTATTGAAGAGAGAGAGGTTGTGATCCGAGAGCATGCGCTCTATGGAACGACCCCTCCCATCAATATCAGCACCACCCCAGAGGGGTTGTGTCCATTTAAGTCTCCCAAAAGTAAAAAGGGAGGTGGCAACTGGTCAACGAGAGCATCAAGGTCCGATTGATTATAAGTCTTCCCAGGAGACAGGTAGAGAGAACAAACTGTGATGGCACAATCCAAGGAAACACGTATGGCTACAGCCTCCAAGGGTGTATCGAGGGACACTGATAAGGAGGGCACATGCTGGTCAACCAACAGTGCCACCCCTCCGTGTACCCGCCCATCACACAACCTGTCATTCCGGTACAAGGAAAACTGCCGAAGGGTGACTGTATCGGCAAGTTTCAGAAATGTTTCCTGTAAGGAGAGACATGCGGGATGATAGGAGTCAATCAAAGCCTTAATGTCATCGAGATTCGAACGAAAACCTCGACAGTTCCACTGTATCAAAGTGGCCATTTTTATGTATGTTTAGAAGAAGAGGGTGGAGAACCCTTCGGTTTATGACCACGCCGTTTTTCTTTACTAGATGGAGGTCGATCGACCTCCATGGATCCTGCCCTACAACGAGCGGGTAGATCTCTGTCAGAGTGAGAATCCAATGACTGAGGACGTGATCGAATAATCGTCCTGCATTTAGGGGCCAAAGAAGGACCCGCACGGACACCAGAAGCTGGTGCCCAAGGAGGTTGACCCAGGCAGTCACTGGAAGGAACAGTGCGGACAGAGATTGGAGTAGATGTAGACTGATCAACTTTATTATCCATTGAGGGCAGAAGACCCCGCACATAGCG